AGGAGGCGCCGGGTTTTCCCGAGGTGGTCGGGAGCCGAGGGCTCGTCCCCCGGCGGAGCGGCCGCCTTATATAACGCTTTGCAGTGTCACCAGCCCGGGCCGGGCGCTCGCTGTAGCCACATCGCCTGTTTACCCCGTCATCCTGCTTAAAACCCGGCCCGGGGCTGGGATGGCGTCGAGACGCCGCGTAACTGGGGCTTCGGCTCCTCCAGTTTACGGAAAATAGACGCTCGCAGACTTGTAGGACTCGGGGAATCGCACCGCTGTTTTTCTTGCTCGCTATTGGAAGCTGTTCTCCCTACCACCCAGCGGAGAACCGATCATTCCTTTTCCTGCCTGGTTAGTAAACACTGATGTCATTCCCCTCTTGTGTAATCATTTTTGTCTTCTGTTCGGGTACGTTGGTCTTCAAATTATATACGTGGGGAGGGGAGAGGTAGTACCGCGAGTCTTTCTCAGTGACTTTGCAGTGAAAACAAAGGAAAAACCAGGGTGCTCGTAGCGTAGGGAACGTTCGTGGTGGCGGCGCAGGGTTGTGCGTTCTGGTTCCCTGAAAAGTGTGCTTTAAACTGTTGGATATTTGTCGAAACAGATCCCCGCTGTGTTCAGAAAATGGTGGTTTAGGTCAAAACGTGGGAGAGTTCAAATCCCATCGGTACTTACAGCTCTGTTCTTTCCCAGGTCACGGTAAAAATCACAAAGATGCTGCCTCGGTCAGGGCTACGCACCCTATACCCGCAGCCTGCGGCATTTATTACTTTGAAGTGAAGATCGTCAGTAAAGGTAGAGATGGGTAAGTGCTTTATTTGAATCTGATGCTTGGTGATGTGTATATAGCTGTTCTGCTGTACTCTGACCTCCTTTCCGGAAGGGTGAGAGGTCCCGTGGCTGCTGGGTGTAACAGGCAGGTACATCAGGAGGTTAGATTCTCTCGGTTACTAGATGTAACTGTGGTAGAACGCACTGGAAGTAGAGGCACTTATGCAGCTGCTTTCTGTGCTGTTTGATACGGGCAGATGTACAAATTTAGGAGACTTTAGGTCTCCGGTGTAATGTACATTCAAATAGTTTTTCCTCTTGCTAGCTAGGTCTGGTCACACAGATTTCGGGAATTATCAGAAGTGAAATGAAGTAGAAGGGAGGAACCTTGAACTTAATTTTGGACGGTTAGAGAGATGTTTGCTTGGTGAAGAGTAGTCATAGCGGTACTTGAGCACTGGAGGAGAACTCGTGAGACTGTTTTTTTAGAATCCCCGAATGCATGATCAAGGAAAAGACGTTCAACGTGAGGGAAATGAGATGATTGTGAATATAGGCTGGAATCTGTGCTACTTCAGTCTAGGATCTGAATTTAGACTCGAGCCATTGTCTCAGGATAGATCGCATCACGGAGTGCCGTGACAGATAACAACTGTGGAAGCTTGGGAGACTGCTGGAACCAGCAAAACATTTTTCCTGGTCAAATCAGGTTTTTTGTGATAATATTTAATATTGTAGGCTGCAGTTGAGACTGCATTTGCCCTGTCTGTCTATACTCCTTTGAACGGTAGCAAGTGGAAGAACTGCAAAAGCAGCAAATCCTGCCGACAGCATTCGAAGCAGCCATCCCTTACTAGGCGGCACTTCAGCGAACTGAACGGGCAGTGGGTTTTGCATCTCATCCGGTGTTGCGCTCGCTACATTGGGCAGGATTTTGAACCAGGATGTATGTGGAGTTCCTTTAAAGCAATATTCAAGATGTTGGGAAATGTGGGAAAGCCATCAAGGGGTATTTCTAGCAAGGTCTGGGTTTCTACTGCTGGTGTAGATTTAATTTTTAATCGATATAAAGGTATCAGCCTGCTCTGTGTGTGTGTGTGTTTGGCATTTTGCATTGCTCAAGGATGAGTATGGCAGGTATAACTGTGCTGATGGGAAAGCCACACAGGTATAGAATGCAATTAATTAGTCTAATCCTTCAAGAATATCGTTTGAACTCTGGCTGGTTTAGGGGTCTTAGGGCAGAGCAGCAAACATTCCTACTAAAAACTAAATGAAAGTCCTAACTTCTCACTGTTGAATTTTTTTGCTGTCATTGTTGAGTTGAGAACTGGCCTATTTGTAAAGGGATTTGCAAAGGATCTCGAATTGTGCAGCATTTAGGCTGATAATAATTACTAGGTTATCTGTGCAGAGGTGGATGCGGGGCTGAACGCTTTATAAATGCGGGGAAATGACCATCTTTATTCTTCCACTTCACTGACTTGGCGATTAACTGTCTGTCATATTTTGAAACCCTGCACTTGATTAGTTTATGCAACTGCTAAAATGGAAATAATTTACAGTGAACTTCCAGACAATTTTCCAAAGAAATCACGTTACGAAAGGTCACTGAGCAGCACTTACCCCTTACTGCATTCTAGATCAATCTTACAGCGACACAATGGAATTTGCTGCTTGTTTCCCAAGATCAGAGTTCTCTATTGTTGTTTTTACTGTATTCTATAATTACAATTCTCAGGAATACTTCCAAAGGTACGGAGCCATGTATATTAACATTACAGCAACACGAACATGAGGTGTTGATAGCTACGATCCAAAGTCAGTGCAGCGGTGAGCCTCGGAGAGCTTGTCTGATGTCTCGGCCATTCCTGTGCCTTGTTTTTCTTTTCCTGGTAGAAAGTACTCCAATTTTTATGTTGCACGCTGTGGTGCTGGGGATTTTTAATTGTGAATTTATATTGTAGCTGCTGCCCATCTGTCACTTAAGAAGGTACTTTTGTGTGTCTCATCTTTAAAGTTTGAAGTCTGCCGGTTGGAGGCTTGGTACGTTGTAATAGTGAACTGCGGCAGAGACATCCTGCTTCTTAGGATGCTCTCCAGGGTTTATTACACCATGCTGGCTTCAGTTTAAAGGAATAAAAGTCTGGAAATCTAAAGAAGGGATCGAAGGGAATGAAAGGAAGTTTTCGAGTGGCATAGGTGGTAGAGCATGTCCCTAGGAACTCAGCTGGAAGCCCTTTAGCAAGGGGAGAGGAAGAGGAATTTTTCTGAGCTCGTATCCAGAGTGGATGCTTCAGGTGTAAATTGTTATTTTATTTATGCTGTACGGAGTGGTGAGGTGAGGATCACGTGGTGTTATTCGCTGTGTCCCCCTTGCTGAAGTTTGAGATAGCTTTTCACATTTAGGTTTAAAATGTGAACGATCAGGTTTCAAAACAAGACTTACTCAAAATACTTTTGCGGAACGAATTTCAGGAAGTGTGCTTTGAGGAGTTGTGATTGATTTTTTTGCTCAACAACTCAAAGCTGTCATCTTTCCGTGCTGATAAATTGTTAGTCTAGCACTCTACGCTCTGGTTAGATGCTGACAGTTGCTAACGAACAACAGAAACTAAGATTGCAGGTAAGAAGCAGGACAGAAGCTCCCAGTGGCTTTTACGTATGAATCCTGAAGCTCACATGAGGACTTCTTTGCAGCCTGACGAGAGATGTTGCCCATATGCGATCTGCTGTTCTTGAGTTGGCATCAGACTGTGCCAGTTCCGGCTTGGCGATGTCACCGTGGTAGAGAAACCTGAGCTATCGAGACAACTGAGGTGTCGGTACCGCCTTTTAACATCCCCCTTCTGTTACTTCCATGGGGCTAAGGTGATTTAAATCCAGTGGTTCTCTCCTTTGTGTCCTCCCACCACACTGTATCCTAGCAGTAAAAAGAAACCTCCTCACCTCCCCCTGTTTTTCAGGCAGGTTATTTCTCTGCTGGGCTTTGCAAACCCCAGAGCCAGCAAGGGAAGAGGGAGGGACTGCAGCAGCGCAGAGACAAGGTGCTTCAGACTGCCACGGCGCTGCGCCTGTAGCTGGCAGAAAAGCTTCCTCTTCGCATTGTTTTTCTCCCCTGCCCTTTACCACACCTGGTCCGTAAAGGTGCTTTTGTTAAAGAAGGAAATGAAATGATTTATGAAAACTCTCCCTTTACCATCGCTAGACTTTTTTGCCTTGGCATCAGTAAAATCTAGCTTGGATTACTGGCGGATGTTTCCAAGGAAGTACAGCATGCAAAAAGTCCATTTGGTGCACTTAAGAAACTTTTAAGATTTATCAGCCTTTCTTAGCTTTGGATCTTCCACTGCTCGTGCACTGAGATATAACCACAATCCTTTGAGTTAAAGAACGGTGACTGAGATTTACTTTTAGCTGAAGGGTGGTCATTTCTCATCCTGGTGGTTTTAGTCTTTGTTGATAAGAGGTCGTGTTTATTTACTGGGGTATTTTTGTGGTTTTTGTTTTGTTTTTTTCTGTTCTTGGAGAGGGGAGGCTGCCAGGCTACAGTTGGTAACATAACAAATCAGATCTGTCAGTAGATTGATCTGTTGTTTGTGCCAATATTTGTTTGGGGAGCTGATTCTTATCCTGGGAGCCTAGAGGAGAATTTAGTTTACAGTCTCTAGTTGCAGCCCTCTCCTCACCTCCTTGTCTATGCTGAACACACAGGGAGTGGTTCCACACCGCTTTAGGATGATACAAGGCAAGGCTGTGGGATTCCGCCCTTCCGTTTGCCACGTGTTTCTGTGCATTCCCTCATGCTGACCATCTGTGGCTTGGTCCTATGGTGAGCTGGTTCCAGGAGATAACTGCTTGAAAACTGGCCACATCAAAATAATGATGATGATTTAATCTATTGACGTCACTGTCAGAAATTGCTGGCTTCTTTTTTTTTTTTTTAACTTTGAGGACTACTTTTCAGGGTTCTGCTCCCTGACGCGGGCTGAAGGTGAGTCAATAAAGGGATGGGCTGAGCTGGGAGAGGGAAGGGTAGGATTGCAGCAACCCTCGCTTAGTTCCATTCAAGGTGTCGTTAAACAGTTTTGTCTTAGGACTCGCTGGGTACTTAATTCCTGAGCCATTGTGCACGTGTCTCCTGAGTGTTGTCAGTTGGAACAAAAGGACAAGAGGCAACAGATCACAAGTTGTGGTGAGGGAAACATCAACTGGACATAAGAAATTTTCCCCTTGAAAATGGTTAAGGACCAGAACAGGATGCCCAGAGGGGCTGTGACATCTCCATCTTCAAATTTGCCTGGGCGAGGCCCCAGACTGCCTAATATAACTTGGAGAGTTACTTATGTTTTGGGCAAGTGGACGAAGAAGGAAGGTCCCAAGGTCCCTTCCAGCCCAGACCTCTCTGTGGTTCTGTGGATGGCTTGCTTCCAGCATTCCTCAGATGAACAGACTGGCAGAAATGTACGTGACTCTCATGTTCTGAGCTGCCACAAATAACTCATGCTTTTATCACGGTGGTGTTTATAACAGTTCAACCTTAGTTATATTTGAAGCGCTGGACTCTTACCCTCTCTCTCTCAAATACGTGTTTCTGTTTGCTGTTGATTTGTCAGCACATCTCGCAGCTTCTGTTTCCCCATTAGATGTTCTCTGCTTGGTAAACAGGAACAGTGTAAGACTCATCAGGGTAGGGCAGTCAAACCCACAACTTACAGGCTGCTGTGACTCAGGAGGACGATTCATCTTTGTCCTCTTTGTGGCAAGGTGGCTTGTCTCGTGGGTGGCAGTGCTTGCTCCTGATGGCCGTTTCAATTTCTTCACCTGTTTTACCTCCCCTAGCCACGCGGTGGGTTGTGATGGAGTGAGGCTGGGGAGGACACCCCACAGATTCCTGATTCTAGCAAAAAGTCACCTGTCCTGCAGCCTTTTCTCCATTTCTGAGCTCCTCCCGGGAAAGACATTCCAGCAGTCTGCGGATTGCCCTTGCAGTGGCGGTTTGCTGTCGACAGCCGTCTTTCCTGGTAATTGCTTTTTGGACTCATGGATGCTTTGGTGTGCTGGCGTTCTGCAGCCAGCCCGACCTCTTCGGCAGCGGCAGAGCCTGCCGCCTGTCCACGGTGGCTCCGCGCGTCCTGTGCAAAGGAGAGCAGAGGGGATGGAGGCGGCACAGCCCTCGGTGCCAGGACAGCCAGGCCGTTTTGTGAGGACTTTGAGCCGTAAAGGCTGCCGAAAGAGCCAGTCTGGCTTTTCTTCTTGACATGATGTTTTTGGGTTTTTTTGTTTTTCTTTTTTAAACCCTTTCCTTTGTGCCAGCACTAGTGACTGTGTAATGAGCTGGATCATGTTAACTCTCTTTTTGTTGGATCAGTCCCTGATACAGTGCTTTCTGTGCATTAAGTGGGGAAGAGGAGACCTTGAAGGACAGAACAGGGAAGGTGGGAAGACATGGGCAGCAGGGTGTGTTGATGTCCTCCTCCTTCCAGCACCGGCTCGAACTGTTTCACGGTTGCTTTGAGATGTGCGGCCCGTTGTCCAGAGATGTCGGTGAGCGCTAGCTTAGGTTGTGGGCGTTTTTCTGAGAGAGGGAGGAAAGAGTACTTTGAGGAGAGCGGTCAAAGAGCTAATCTAGCTTACTCCATACCGTAGTTTATTTAAAATCTTCCTTTAGCTTTCTTACACGAGTGCACCATATCTCAGACTTAAAAATAGCTTAGTTTCTCTCTGACCGAAAAAGAAAAATAAAGGTCAGATGTGTTAGTTGTTTAGCAGTCTTTACATTAGCAACAAGTAATCTGCCCCTCTCTTCCTTGCTTACATTTCTCCTTGCCAACTTTCCATTTCTCCTCAGCATATGGTGAGTGTGAGCGCTCTTTGAAAAGCCTTTCAGGCGCGTGCTCTAATGGTTTCCAGATGCTGATAGAAGGCCTGTCCGTGAAGCGCTCTGCCGTCGGTGGCTTTAACGGCACGGTTGTCTGTGTGCATCCGTGGGCTGGTTATACCATGGGCGCCTTGTAACGTCACGCATGTCTGGATGTGGCTGTAGGGAAGGCTGAGGAATATTCTGGGGCAACTGAGGATTTCTAGTGTCTGCATGTGCTCTGTGATCCCTTATTTGTATCTGATAAGCCTGTAAATAATTGATTTCCTCCCCCTTTTTTATTTTTTCCATCCTGGCTTCCAAGAATCCAAAACCAGCACAGAGAGGGGGTTGTTCTTCTGTTTGCAGGTATGTCTGCTTACTTGAATTTATGCTGTTCCACAGACATTCATTTAAACAGACCAACACATAAATAAATCCCCCCAGGTAGGTTCAGTAAACAGTTCTCCCCTTGTTCCCCTGTGCAAACAGTCTTGCTTGCTCAGCTACTGACTGGCTGTGCTTTGGTGCTCTGAGGTGTAGAGATACTCTCATTTTCTGCAGAGGTTTCACGTTAATTGGTGGCGTCTCGTATGAGCTATTATTCTTTGTCGTTGTTCTGCTAAACTCTTGCAAAAGGGAGTAATAATTGAGAGCAGTTGTTTCAATGTAAAGCAAGTTGTGAGGTTGGAATATCTGATTTGCAGTTGATAACATTTTTAATTTTGGGGTTTTTTTAAAATCGATGAAGTGGAAATTGAAACTCAGTGCTTTATAGCAGTGTCACGGGCCCATCCGTTGTAATGGTAGCCTATCAATTTCTCATTAAAATAATTTGTGGAATTAGGAAATGAAATGGCAGTAATGATATGTGACTTTTTCACTTGTGATGTGCGCGCTTTGTCTGAAGTCTGAGATCTCCCAGATTTCAGGCTGTGATTACTTCGTTCTGGGTTTTTTGTTTGTTTGTTTGGGGTTTGGTGTTTTGGTGGTGGTTTGGGGTTTTTTTTTTTCCCCTTCCAGTTAGAGTTGTGAGATTTTGACCAGTAAAGAAGAAAAATTTCAGGAAAAGTTGTGTGTTGGGTTTGGTTTTTTTTCTTCTTCCTCTTCCCTCCACTCTTTCTGAATATCTGTTATAGAAAAGGAGGAATATGGCAAAAGTAAACTCTAGCAAAATCAACTTAACATCTTTAGAATATGCGAAGCATTATTACGCTTCAGTTCTTCAGAATATGTTTACAGTTAAATCATAGAATAATGGGAACTAATTGTTTAAATGTTCTAGGGTTATGGATCTAAGCAATTCTCTGCTCAATAATTACATTGTTCAAGTTGCATAACTTTTGTAGAGTTTTTATATATAACTTTTCCTTCACTTAGGAAGCTCTGGGGTGATGAACTGCTAAAGAATTTATCACTGCTGTGGAGCTTGACTCTTTCTTCAGCTCAGCCACTGACCCTGGGAAGCTGAATCCTCTTAATGGTGTTACGCGATTGCACCCCCAGATTTTTTTCTTAACGGCTTTTCTAGGAACGGGGTTTACAGTGTACCTGTGGTATAAGACCGGATCTCCTTTTCCCCACTGCAGTTTCAAACCCGGAGATACAATCTGCCTTCTTCTTTACAAGTTCTTTGTATTGGTGCTCTCCACATCTAGCCGTGGTTCCTCGTGTGGAGGTGGCAGCGTGTAAAGGGCTGTGGGCTCCCCGTGGGTTGCTTTCCCGGCGCTCTCCCTAACTCTGGGTATTTGTTTTTGCTTTCAAGAGAAAGTATTCTTCTCTCAGAAATACATCTGTCGAAACTTTGTGTGCGTTACTTTTTCTGTAGTGTGTTTTCTACATTAAAAAAAGATAGTTATGTAAATATTGCAGTAATTTTTTTCTGTAATTTCATGATAACTTGTGTTAGCAGGTAAATCCTCCTTGCATAAGAATTGTTAATATCAATTTCCTGATCGAAGCCTAAACCAGAGCAAATTAGGCAATTTCTCTCTCTCTTGAGAGAACTAGCTACCTGGCAGCAGAGTGTTTGCTTCTGATTTGGGTATTGCGTTTACACTGGTCCCGTGTGTTAGTGGAGAAAACAGGAACTCGAGCTGCTGTTTGATGCTGCCTGTTAGGATGGACTGAAATGCAAGATGAGTCTTCAGCGTGAAACTTGCAGTCTTTATATGACTTGCCCTCTTTAGGATGCCTTTCTGTTAGATATTTGTAGTACTCCAGTGTCTTTTATTTTTACTGTTTTCTAGGCTTTGTTCCCGCCAGGAAAAATGGCCTGTTGATTAGTCTGGCAGTCCCGGAAACCTGTTTAACTTCCCTAATATATCGGATAAAAATTTTCAGCAACTCTGAACAGTGCATTTGTTAATCAGCAGGACAAGCTGAACAAAAATTCTACTTATTCAATTGGGTGTAACCAGAATAAATAATCAGAGAATTAATATCAGTAATGCTTTATGCTGTTCCCAGACTGAATGTGCTTGCCACTGACATGGTTTGTATGAACTTTATGAGTACTTAGAGAACACGTCAGCTATCAGGAGTGAAAAAATCAAAAGTTGGAACACGAAGGTGGTGGGACACCTTAGCTTCGGATACAGTTGGTTTCGACCACGGTGCATTGCGGGGTTTGGGGTCCTGTTGGATGTGGTGGTGTTTGGGGTGGCAGGTGGAGAAGTCAGTTATTCTGGCCAGATCCTAGAGGGGATTTTCACCTGGTGAGGCTTGTATTACACCTTTTCTTTCCTAAATGGTGCTCAAGTCAAGTCTTCATCTCCGATCTGTGTTTTCTGTCTTTTGGTATTCCTACATATATTGCTAATCTACATCATCGACCTTTTCCCTTCCTGAAGGTAACACAGAAAAGGGACAGATTTGGCCCTTCCTATAGCTGACAGATACCAGTTGAACGTGATCCTAAAATTGGAAGGGAGCTGGGAATTTGCCACCTAGGTCTACCGAAAATAGTTTTTTATTCTTCCTCTCTAGTTTTGTCACTCGTAAACAGACCGAGGAGATGTGTTATGTCACCAAATTGCTGCCTCTTAATTTTGTTCTGCTCACTCACCTTCTCTTCCATGCTCTTGGGCTCTTAGAGCTTCTCTGCCTTTCGAAGGGCTGATGTGCAGTGGAGTCCTCCATGCCTCAGGATACTCGTAGCTGTTTTTAATGAGCTCTTAAGAATTTTATTTTCTTGCCTTTATCTACTTCTTTTCAGCCTTGCATTATGTGTTTTTACTGACCTCCGCTTGAGGAATTGGGATTCTTTCTGGAGCCTGTCAGTTCTATTTCTGAAGCAGTTACAGAACAGCACAATATCCATGAATAAAACCAGAACTGCTTCCACTTTAGAAATTTGTTATATTCCATTATGAAATAGTTCCAAAGTATTTATTGTTAGACTGAGGAGTCAGAGACTGTTGGAATCCAGTATTTTATGTACCATAGGTAGTTTTTTTAAACAGATGTAACTTGTTTTTTCACTGCCTTAAATAACATGCTCCTTCCCCCCCCCCGCCGTGACAATGCGGTTTCAGGTGGTAAATTGATATGGGTTATCATTTCTCACCACTCTTTAAACCTGGCGTGAAGCCAGGGCCCACCTCAGACAACAAGAACGATAGTTCGGAGCTTTGCACAAGGGACTAGGAGAGTCTCTGACGTGCTACCAGTGTGATGGGGTGTATTCTTAATCTCTAACTTAATAATTTCGCTTGATTATTTTAGACTTAACTCTGCGTGTTGAAAGAGCGGGGCTGCATGATAGCTGGGAGGACAGGATTCCTGCCAGATTGGTGTGGTTATTAGAAAAAAACACAGGATGCAGCAAGCTTTTGAATCACAAACCCACCTCTGGAAGAGAGGAACATCTCAGGTTCAGCGTGTGGCTAAGCTGCGTTGCTTCGTCTTGGCTGAGCCACGTAATAAAATGCCATCCCAGGAATTTCTACCGTGTGTTCGTGATATTGTTAGTTCACTACTGAGCAGGGGATGACTGCTCTAAGGGAAGTCGTGGCCTGCAAAACAAATAATTTAACGTCTCTGGTTTTAACTCTTGAAGTTTGGGCCTCGGTGTATCTCGGCATACGTAGTAAAGCGTGCTGTAAGGAGAGACCTCTGTGTCAGGGTGATGCCGCACAGTAAAGAAGAGTTCTAGGCTTGTGACCATTAGATAGCCAACCAGTGCTAAACCAATGTATTTTTTTCATGTTCGTTTCCCCAGCTTTCAGATGGGGTGAATTTTGTCTGCCTTCTAGGTAAGCTTCACAGGCACTCGAGAGAGGAGCGGCATGGATTGTTTCACCATCCTGACTTGGTACCTTTCAACAGGTTAAGAAATAAAT